GCTATACCAGGATAAATTCCTCTGGGAAAAGTTGAGACCCATATATACAAAATAAGAAAGGCCACACAGTTACAACGGTCTCATCTAATTCCCTTCAGTCATTTATTTGATTTATACAAGTGGTAGTCTTTAAACCTAGGTTTGGGGCACAAAACTATTATCATTTTACTTTGTATTTGCCCTTTTTAAAACTTTGTATCTGGCTGGGTGCAGTGGCTCAGGCCTGTAATCCCAACACTTTAGGAGGCCAAGGTGGGCAAATCATGAGGTCAAGAGATCAGGACCATCCTGACCAACATAGTGAAACCCCGTCTCTACTAAATATACAAAAATTAGCTAGGCATGGTGGCACACGCCTGTAGTCCCAGCTTCTCGGGAGGCTGAGGCAGGAGAATCACTTGAACCCAGGAGGCAGAGGTTGCAGTGAGCCAAGATCCCACCACTGCACCCCAGCCTGGCGACAGAGTGAGACTCCATCTTAAAAAACAAACAACAGCCGGGCGCGGTGGCTCATGCCTGTAATCCCAGCACTTTGGGAGGCCGAGGCGGGTGGATCATGAGGTCAAGAGATCGAGACCATCCTGGTCAACATGGTGAAACCCCGTCTCTACTAAAAATACAAAAAATTAGCTGGGCATGGTGGCGTGTGCCTGTAATCCCAGCTACTCAGGAGGCTGAGGCAGGAGAATTGCCTGAACCCAGGAGGCGGAGGTTGCGGTGAGCCGAGATCGCGCCATTGCACTCCAGCCTGGGTAACAAGAGCGAAACTCCGACTCAAAACAAACAAACAAACAAACAACAACAACAACAACAAACTTTGTATCTGTCACTTGTTAAATTTTTACAGAAGTACAACTCCTAATAAAATAATGCTGGCCCAGCTCGACACTTTGAGATAATAACAAAAGATGATGGAAAAGACAAAATTGAACTTAATAATGGAACCCAGAGATTTAACCTAAAAGATACTCCCTTTAAATGTCCCTTCTTGCTCAAATGTGGCTAAAAGAGTTTTGACACTGACTCCAAGTCACCCGTCATTCCCCTCAATGTGACATGAGACCAGCAACTGGGACAGCTCATCCTGACATTGAGGGATATCAAAACACAAATATGAATGTTTGATCAGTGATGATTTTGGAGACAGATCTTGATCAAAAGGGGAAATGTGAAAGTTGTGAGGAAAAAATGGAGTCACTAATATTAAGAAAGCACTAGCAAGGCTGGGTTCAGTGGCTCATGCCTATAATCCCAGCACTTTGGGAGGCCGAGGTGGGTGGATCACCTGAGGTCAAGAGTTTGAGACCAGCATGACCAACATGGTAAAACCCCATCTCTACTAAAAATACAAAAATTAGCTGGATGTAGTAGTAAACACCTGTAATCCCAGCTACTCATGAGGCTGAGGCAGGAGAGTTGCTTCAACCAGGGAGGCAGAGATTGCAGTGAGCTGACATTGTATCACTGCACTCCCGCCTGGGCAACAAAGCAAGACTCCATCTAAAAAAAAAAAAAGAAAGCCCTAGCAAATGGGGCCAAGGAAGGCCATGAAGAGAGGGTTCTCACACCTATATGCCTGATTAAAAAAAAAAAAAAAAAAAAAAAAAAACTATAACGGTGCATAAAGACCATTGCAACCTTACACACACACAAAAAATACTCCTGCAGAAACATCTGCCCAACAAATGCCTATCCAACCTTGGACTGTTGTCACCCTTGTTATTATCTCCGTAGCCAAGGAAAACTATTTTAAAACAATTATGTTATCCTCTTCATTTTTTCCTTTAAAAACTTTGTTGGCCGGGCATGGTGGTTCACACTTCAGGATGCTGAGGCAGGCGGATCAACTCAGGTCGGGAGTTCGAGACCAGCCTGACCAGCATGGTGAAACCCCATCTCTACTAAAAATATGAACAATTAGCTGGGCGTGGTGGTGGATGCCTGTAATCCCGGCTACTTGGGAGGCTGAGGCAGGAAAGTCATTTGAATCTGGGAGGCTCAATGCACTCCACCAGCTGGGAGAAAAGAAATTTAATATATACAACTGGAAAATGACAACATATCCAGAACATATAAAGAACTCCAAAGAAAATGATCATCCAATATTTTTTTTAAATGGGCAAAAATGAACTTGACCACACATTTTGCTAAAGAGACAATCCAATGGCCAATAAATATATCAAAAGATACATAACCTTATCAATAACCAGAGAAATACAAATTTAAACCATACAATCCTACCAAATTGGCAAAATTTTTAAACTATGACAATACAAGTATTTGCAAGAGTAAGGTAATGAGAACTTCCATACATATGTTTCATATACATACAATTATAAATTGGCACAAACACTATGAAAAGTAATCTGGCATCATCTGTGAAGTTATAGACAGACATGGTAGAGTGAAGAAATACAGCCACAACATTCTGCAGCTCCTTCAATTAAGAGGTAAGATCTATTTTTTACCTTTGGAATCTGGGAGGGCCTTTTTTCATTCTTTCGTGTTTTTTTTTTTTTTAGTTGAGATGGAGTTGGTTTCACCATGTTGGTCAGGATGGTCTCAAACTCCTGACCTCAGGATCCACCCGCCTTGGACTCCCAAAGTGCTGGGATTATAGGCATGAGCCACCATGTCTGCCCTGGGGTGGCTTTTTTTTACTTCCTTCAACCAAGAAATGTAGCGGCAATGGAAGCAGTCCTATACTCCTCTTCAAGACAGTTTGCTGAGTCTGCCCTTGTGCTCTGTGAGCTGCCATGTGAGGAAGACCAAACTAGCCCCATAGAGAGGCTCATGGAAGTGAACAGCCCTTGCTGGCTTATGTATGCATATCTAAGGAATATAGTAGCCACTATCCTGACTTTTATGTCTACAAACAGGAGTAAACCCAGCCAACACCACCTAAAGAGGAGCAGCGCCGGCCAGGCACGGTGGCTCATGCCTGTAATCCCAGCACTCTGAGAGGCCGAGGTGGGTGGATCACCTGAGGTCAGGAGTTCACCTGGCCAACATGGTGAAACCCTGTCTGTCTCTACTAAAAACACAAAAATTAGCTGGGTGTGGTGGCGGGCACCTGTAATCCCAGCTACTTGGGAAGCTGAGGCAGGAGAATTGCCTGAACCTGGGAGGCGGCGGTTGCAGTGAGCTGAGATCAGGCTACTGCACTCCAGCCCCAGTGACAAAAGTGAAACTCTGTCTCAAAAAAAAGAGCAATGCCATCCCTGCTGGGCTCAGCCCCCAGCCAACCCTGCAGCTGAATGCAGCCATGTTAGTGAACCCACACAAGCACAGCAGAAGAATTTTCCAGCCAACCCACAGAATCATAAGATAAGTCATTGTTGTTTTAATCCATTTACTTCCAGGACAATTTGTTACCTAAGAATACATAACTATGCCTCGACAATCTAACTCATCTATCCCAGAAAAATGTGCACATATGCCGTACACAGGGACATGCGTAAGAATGTTTACAGCAACACTGTTTTAATGGCATAAAACTGGAAAGACTCCAAATGTCATCAATAGTAGAATGGATTTTTTTTAACTGTGGTATAGTTATATACCAAAACATTATACAGCATTTTAAAAGCACAGATTAAAGTTATACACAGTGTGGATAAATATTACAAACATGTTGAATGAGAGAAATAAAGCACAAAAGTAAGCAAAGAGAATGTATATGTGAGGGAACAAATAACTAAACTATATTGCTTTACGGGAGGCTGAGGCAGGAAAATTGCTTGAACCTAGAAGGCAGAGGTTACAGTGAGCCAAGATCACGCCACTGCACTCCACCCTGGGTTACGGCGAGACTCCATCCCCCCCCCCAAAAAAAAAAAACTAAACTAACAAACAGAAAAACTGTATTTCTTCATGTGAGTGGACAAATTAAACTGTATTGCTTAGCTCTGCATACATAGATGATAGAATATAAAGAAAAACAAACAACTAATCGCTATTCTGACTTTTATGATGATTAATTCTTTTTTTCCTTATATTCTAACATCTATGTATGCATATCTAAGCAATATAGTAACCACTATCCTGACTTTTATGATGGTTACCTCTGGGAGGCAGTAAAGAGATTATGATTAGAAGACACATGGAGAGCTCCTAGGGTTATTCTAGTTCTTAATACCGGTGATGTTTACTTCATAGTTCTTTACATTATACATTGTTTTATACATTTTTTCTTTTTTTCCTTGAGGTGAGGTCTCACCCAGCTGGTTTCAAACTCCTCGATTGAAGCAATCCTCCCATGAATCATGAACAATGGACTTAAGCCCATTGTTCATGACAGCACCAACAAGACACCAGCCACCGTGCCTGGCCTTGTTTTACACATTTTTCTATATGTATTTAATAGCTCATAATAAAAGGGTTTTTTTTGGAAAACACAAAAAAAAATACCATTACACTGCCACCAGACTGGAAAAAATTTAAAAGTCCAATCAAGTTTAATCAAGTGTTGTGCAAAAAGCAAAACGAATGAAAGTCTCACACATCCTCGATGGGAGGGTAATGCATCATACCACTTTGAAAAGCAGACACTATATGGTAAAACTGAAGGTGAGCATACCCTACTCAGCAATTCCATTCCTAACTATATACTGTCAAGAACTCTTGCACATGTACACATGTATATGCCCAGGCATCTTCTAGAAGAAAATGGTGGTTATTTGTGAGGGTTATAATTACTGGGAGAGGCTGGGCGCGGTGGCTCATGCCTGTAATCCCAGTTCTAAGGGAGGAAGAGGCAGGAGGATAGCTTGAGCCCAGGAGTTCAAGACCTGCCTGACCAATACAGTGACAGACCCCATTCTCAAAAATTAAAAAAATAAAGATTACTGGGAGCAATTCAACTCAGGGTTGCCTCCTCTGGAAGGCCCCATCTGACTAGCCCAGACAGAATTAATGACTCTGTCTCCTGTCCTCACCCATCACTTCTGCTGCCAGTTAGCACAAGGTGGGCGGATGCTCAACTAAGGGGCTGAACTTACCTCTCACAGCAGCGATGTGTGATGACTGTCGCCCAGAAGCCCAGGACACAAAAGTTGAAAGATGTGGTAATCACCAAAGTGAGCAGGTTCATCAAGGACACGAGAAAGGCATCACTGAGACAGTTGTTGGACTGCGGCATGTATGAGGCTAAGGAGGCAACGGAGCCAAGGCCTACGCCTGTGTTCAACAAAACGTGACTCCCTGCTACAGACCACACACTCACATTGTACACGTCCGCTATCTAAAAGAGATAACAGTATAAGGCGGTTGTAAAAGAAGCAGAGGACAGCTACAACAGAAACGTTTCGAGGAGGAGAGAGGGAGATACAGAAAGCAAGACTGGGGAAAGCAAGTTCTAAGAGTAGGCAGCTGTGGTGCCCTACAAGGCCTGATGGGGGAGTGAGGAACACAGATTTCACCTTGGCAACCAACAACTGTTGAAGGCCAAATTTTGCCCCTTCCAGCAGTAGACTCCCGATGAAGAGCCCAACGATGATGAAACAGGGGAGCGGTACCAACACATATATGACCTGAATAGAGAGTGGGACATATCAGCAACTGTGTACCAGTAGGGGTCAACCAAGAGTCAGGAGAGATCAAAAGTTCTGAGTCAGAAATGAGTAGGAATTAGAAGAAAGCGTTCAGCAAGGGTCAGGGGTCAGGGGCCAGTGGGAGTAAAAGGCCAGAGGAGTAAGAAATTAGGAAATCAACAAGTAGCAAAGTGAGGTAAGGACTAAAGCATTTGAGAATTTCAGGGAATCCAACACTGGTGGCTCACCTTCCTGGTGGACTTAAGCCCATTGATCATGAAAGCACCAACAAGACACCAGCAAATAAAGAAGGGCAGGACCAGACTGCTGACTGGTGACCCACCATCCTCAATTCTGTCTGAGGCCTTCAAGGTCTCCTGGTACCAGAAGTACATGGAGGGTGTTGTCCGTTCACATGCAGGATCTGGGGGGACCTGGCTTTGGACATGCCTGCTAGACAAGGTAACCCCTCCTCTTTTTTATCCCCTCCCCCACCTCCCTTTCCTCTTTCCTCCTCCCATTTCTTTTTCCTTCTTCTGTCTTCCTCTTCCTTGTCCCTCACCACTCCTTTCTACTCTTCCCAATTCCCTTCTACTTCTCCATTTTTCCCTTCTCCTCTTCCTTCACCTCTTCCTCACCAAAGCCACTAGAGTTCTCCATTAAGTGACATTTCTCCCATGGAACAGGATACTGGAAGGACTGGCTCAGGTAGAAGACCATCCAGGAATTCATCACATTCAAGTACAAGCCAACGATGAAGCACACCTGGGGGTCAAGGAGGAAGTGGCTGGGGAGAAAGAGCAGGGACAGGAAAGGGGAGGGAACTTGAGAGAGGATTGGGGAACCAAAGGGATTTAACTCATGGAAGTACTCATGGGACACATTTCAGGAAGAGGGTTGGCATGGGGGTGGGGTGTAAAAGTCAGGCCTGGGCAGCCAAGGGCTCCTCACCATGAAGCTGGAATACCCCACACCACCAATCCAGGGGGCAATGATCTTCCATATGCCCATGCTACCCTGACGCAGGCTCTGACCAGCCGCCATCTCCAGGAAGAGAAGAGGAACCCCGACTAGGAACAGCATGAAGATGTAGACAGCTACGAAACTGCCTGTGAAGAGGATTCAGGAGGGACTCTGAAAACCATCTGGGCTTTCAGTGCCTGGACTGCTTCAGGAGCCCAGGAAAACATTCTCCGTACCAATGAACTCCCCCAGGGCGACAGGGCTCACCCATGTCTTTTTTTGTTTGTTTGTTTGTTTTTTTGAGACAGAGTCTTGCTCTGTCACCCAGGCTAGAGTGCAGTGCAATCTTGGCCCACTGCAACCTCCACCTCCCTGGTTCATGTGATTCTCCTGCCTCAGCCTCCAAAGTAGCTGGGACTACAGGCACATGCCCCCATGCCCAGCTAATTTTTTTGTATTTTTAGTAAAGACAAGGTTTCACCACATTAGCCAGGATGGTCTCCATCTCCTGACCTCATGATCTGCCCACTTCAGCTTCCCAAAGTGCTGGGATTACAGGCATGAGCCACCACGCCTGGCCAGGCTCACCCATTTCTACATCTCTCACAATCCCAAATGTCCAATCCCCTGGCCCCCAATTCCTGGAAGACCCAGGTACCTAGTTTCCAGCCCATCTTGGACCGAGGCCTCCAGCTCAGCCATCCCCATGTTCAAATACCCTGAACCTCTACCCGCCTTGTGATTCTAGGTGTCCAGGGACCTGGTGCCTATGCTGCTCAGAGTACCAGGTCTTCAGCCTCCACGTTATCTCAGAGACATTCACGTTTAAAGCCTGGCTAGGACTCTGTCTGCTAGCCCCTTGGGGACCCAGGTTTCCTGATCCCCAGACTTACAGCCTCCACTGTTAAGCCACAGGTAGGTAAAGTGCCAGAGATAATCTGGCCTCACAGAGAAGCCCACCTGGGCGAAAATGTACTCAGCTTTGCTGGACCAGAACGGACGGGCATAGAGGACCTCACTCTCTTTCTTCTCTGTCATCTGCACCTTCTCATATAGGGGTTTCTGCTTCAGGACTGAGGAAGGTGCCACCTCTGGTACAGAAATTGGCTTGGGCTGACTGGTCCTGGCCTGACGGATCCTGGCATGATCCTCTATAGCATGGATTTTCCAGGCCTGAGCCTTTGCAATCCGGGTTGCTGAAACTTGGGCCTCTGAGGTCCAAGATGGTGCATCCCAGATCACCAGACCCTTGTCTTCCCACGTATGACTTTCTGAGCCACTGTCACAAATCACTGTGTCAGTCGATGAGGTGTTTGCCAGCGAGGATGTCGAAGGCTGGGCCTCTGTCTTCATCACAAACAGACTCTCTGGGGCAGCTCCAATTTCTGCAAAGGAGGGTTCATCTTCCTGAACAGACCTTAAGGACACCAAACACCATAGATTTTAGATTTAGAGATTTTAGATTTGGAGATTTAAGATTTTAGATTTAGAGTTAAGTAATTACCGAGTTCCAAAATAATTCTCAGCCTCTCCTTAAAGCAAACTTCATTTCTATCCCAACCACTGACATTCAAAGCACAAAAAAATCTCTTGGTTAAGTTTCACTTCTTAGAAATGATTTTGAGCAGTGGCTCATGCCTATGATCCCAGCACTTTGGGAGGCCGAGGTGGGCAGATAACCTGAGGTCAGGAGTTGGAGACCAGCCTGGCCAAAATGGCAAAACCCCGTCTCTACTAGAAATACAAGAATTAGCTGGGTGTGGTGGTGTGCACCTTCAATCCCAGCTACTCAGGAGGCTGAGGTAGGAGAACTGCTTGAATCCAGGAGGTGGAGGTTGCAGTGAGCTGAGATCAGGCCACCGCATTCCAGCCTGGGAAGCAGAGCAAGACTCTGTCTCAGAAAAAAAAAAGAAAGAAAAGAAATGTTTTCATGCAAGGGATAGGGAGAGAGACAGGCCAACCAACAGTCAGGAATCCCTGAAAACAAAGGATTTTTTTCTTTTATTGTTTTCAGATGGAGTCTCACTCTGTCGCCCAGGCCCCAGTGCAGTGGTGCAATCCTGGCTCACTGCAACTTCTGCCTCCCGGGTTCAAGCAATTCTCCTGCCTCAGCCTCCAGAGTAGCTGGACTTATGGGCACACACCACCACGCCCAGCTAATTTTTGTATTTTTAGTAGAGACGGGGTTTCACCATGTTGGCCAGGATGGTCTCGAACTCCTAACCTCAAGTGATCCACCGACATCAGTCTCTCAGAGTGCTGGGATTACAGGTATGAGCCACTGCACCCAGCCTGAAATCAAAGGACTTCTAAGAACACTGAGGTACTATTTGCAGAGGGCTTCCAAATTAAAGAAAAATCTAATTTAATACTAAATCTGCCTTGTAATCTTAGAAAAGTTACTGTACCTTACTGAGCTTTCTAATCTGTACAACGCTCAGACAGCTGGGCACAGTGGCTCACGCCTGTAATCCCAACACTTTGGGAGGCCGAGGTGGGCAAATCACCTGAGGTTGGGAGTTCGAGACCAGCCTGACTAACATGGAAAAATCCCATCTCTACTAAAAATACAAAATTAGTCAGACGTGGTGGCACATGCCTGTAATCCCAGCTACTCAGGAAGCTGAGGCAAGAGAATCACTTGAACCTGGGAGGCAGAGGTTGCAGTGAGCTGAGATTGCACCATTGCACTCCAGCCTGGCCAACAAGAGCAAACCTCCAATGGGAAAAAAAAAAAAAAAAACAAGACACTCAGATCTCTGCTCAAATACAGCCTCACCAGAGATGCCTTCCCTGTCCTCCTATCTTTTTTGTTTTTTGAGACGGAGTCTTGCTCTGTAGCCCGGGCGGGAGTGCAGTGGCACAATTTCAGCTCAATGCAACCTCCACCTCCCAGGTCCTGGTTCAAGCAATTCTCCTGCCTCAGCCTCCTGAGTAGCTGGGATTACAGGAATGTGCCACCGTACCCAGCTAAGACGGGCTTTCACCATGCTGGCCAGGCTGGTCTTGAACTCCTGACCTCATGATCCATCCGCCTCAGCCTCCCAAAGTGTTAGGATCACAGGCATGAGCCACTGTGCACAGCCAGCACTGTCCCCCTATCTAAAATAGCGCCTGCCTACCCACTACTCTCTTTACTTTCCTTCATGGTATGTCTAGTCTCCTGATTTTATTATCTATTTACTGTTAATTCATTCATTGTCCAGCTCTGCCTACTGCTCTATCTCCAGCAAAAGAATGGTGTTCTACCTCGTATCTGGGGCTATTCTTCTCCCTGCTCTCCAAGTTCCCGCCATTCTGAAAGTCTGTTAGCTCTTCAAATACGAGTGAACGGGCAAGGATTATGCTGAAAAAATTAAAAAGTTCAGTGAAAGAGAGGAAGAGAGAGAGAAAACTGGAGTCTACTTTCAGAGGGGGAAGGAACATGCTTTCCAAAAGCAGAAGCAGTAGGTGGGCGCCGAGGCGGTACATTTGGGTGGTACATTTGGGTCACCTGGATAATTGCTTGTGAGACACAGCTTCCAGAGAGCTCCGTGTTACTCAAGAAAATGCTTAAAATTCAATGACAGGTTAAAAACATAAAACTAAGATACAAATTTCTACCTTTAGTTCTAGAAATTTTAAAATGCAATGCAAGGCTGAAAGGAAATACATCAATATATAGAAGATGATCAGTCAGGCGCAGTGGCTCACACCTGTAATCCCAGCTACTCAGGAGATGAGGAGGGGGGATCGCTTGAACATAGGAGGCAGAGGTTGCAATAAGCCAAGATCACGCCACTGCATTCCAGCCTGGGCAACCCTGTCTCAAAAAAAAAAAAAAAAAAAAAAAAAAAAAAAAAAAAAAAAAAAAAAAAGATGGCAATGACTGCAAATATGTTTATATCCTTCTCCCTGCTTTTACATTAAAATTTTTTAAATATTGTATTACTTTTTCTTCAGACACAGGGTCTCACTCTGTCACCCAGGCTGGAACACAGTGGCATGATCCATATAGTTCAGTGCAGCCTTGAACTCCTGGGTTCAAAGGATGGACCCTCTCACCTTATCCTCCCACGTACCTGGGACTATCAGCATGTGGCAGCATACTCAGCTAATTTAAGCTTTGGCCAGGCAAGGTGGCTCATGCCTGTAATCCCAGCGTTTTGGGAGACCGAGGCAGGCGGATTACGAGGTCAGGAGTTTGAGATCAGCCTGGCCAACATATTGAAACCCCGTCTCTACTAAAAATACAAACAATTAGCCGGACATGGTGGCACGTGCCTGTAATCTCAGCTACTCAGGAAACTGAGGCGGGAGAATCGTTTGAACCTGGCAGGCAGATGCTGCAGTGAGCTGAGATTGCACCATTACACTCCAGCCCAGGCAACAGTGCAAGATATTGCCTCAAAAAAGAAAAGCTTTTTCGAGATGGGAGTCTCACTATGTTGCTTAGCTGGCCTCGAACTCCTATGTTCAAGTGATTCTCCTGCCTCAGCCTCCAGAGTAGCTGGCATTACAAGCACAAGCTACCATTCCCTGCTTGCTTGTATTACTTTAATAATCAAGAAAAATATGGCCAGGCACAATGGCTCATGCCTGTAATCCCAGAACTTTGGGGAGGCCAAGGCAGGTGGATCGCTTGAGGTCAGGAGTTTGAGACCAGCCTGGTCAACATGGTGAAACCCCATCTCTACTAAAACTACTAATAAAATAAAATAAAATAAAATAGCCAGGCATGATGGCAGTCACCTGTAATCCCAGCTTCTAGGAAGACTGACACAGGAGAATCACTTGAACTGGGAGATAGAGGTTGCAGTGAGCCAAGATCGTGCCACTATACTCCAGCCTAGATGACAGAGTGAAAGTCTGTCTCAAAAAATAATAATAATCAAGAAAAATAGGACAGGCGCAGTGGCTCACGCCTATAATCCCAGCAGTTTGGGAGACTGAGGTGGGTGGATCATGAGGTCAGGAGTTCAAGATCAGCCTGGCCAAGATGGTGAAACCCCATCTCTACTAAAAATACAAAAATTAGCCAGGTGTAGTGTTGGGCGCCTGTAATCCCAGCTACTCGGGAGGCTGAGGCAGATAACTGCTTGAACCCGGGAGGCAGAGATTGCAGTGAGCCAAGGTAGCGCCACTGTACTCTCACCTGGGTGACACAACAAGACTCTATCTCAAAAAAAAAAGAAAGAAAAAGAGAAAGAGAGAGAGAGAGAAAGAAAGGAAGGAGGGAGGGAGGGAGGGAGGGAAGGAGGGGTGAGGGAGAGAGGGAGGGAGGGAGGGAAGGAAGGAAGGAAGAAAGGGAGGGAGGGAGGGAGGAAGGAAGGAAGATAGATACCTGGGCACAGCAGCTCACATCTGTAATCCCAGCACTTTGGGAGGCTGAGGCAGGCAGATCATGAGGTCAGGAGTTGGAGACCAGCCTGGCCAACATGGTGAAACCCTGTCTCTACTAAATATACAAAAATTAGCTGGCATGGTGATGCACACATGTAATCCCAGCTACTCAGGAGGCTGAGGCAGGAGAATTGCTTGAACCAGGGAGGCAGAGGTTGCAGTGAGCTGAGATCATACTACTGCATTCCAGCCTGGGAGACACAGCAAGACTCCGTCTCAAATATATATATATGTATTGACAAGTAAAAATAAAAAGATCATAATAGACACAGAAATCCAATTGAAGGGCCAGGCGCAGTGGCTCACACCTGTAATCTCAGCACTTTGGGAGGCCAAGCCAGGCTGATCACCTGAAGTCGGGAGTTCAAGATCAGCCCGACCAACATGGAGAAATCCCATCTGTACTGAAAATACAAAATTCGCCAGGCATGGGTGGTGCATGCCTGTAATCCCAGCTCCTTGGGAGGCTGAGACAGGGGAATCACTTGAATCCAGGAGGCAGAGGTTGTGGTGAGCCAAGATCACGCCATCACACTCCAGCCTGGGCAACAAGAGTGAAAGCTCCATCTCAAAAAAATGAAATCTTGAAGGAGCTCTCATGAGCCAAATCTGAACAAATCAGAACATCAAAATAAATAATAATAGTAACAGATGAGAGCCAACAGACTAAAACAAGAATCTATGAATCCACAGAGATACAACTCAGGAAAAAGAAAACCTCTTCCTTATAGTAGAATACAAACTAATAAATGTACAAGGAATGATGAATTAGAATGTCATTGCTAATCAAGTTATACACATTAAATATGTACAGTTTTTTACATGTCAATCACACCTCGGTAAAGATGTCCTTTTAAAAAATCATTGTTTGGAAACTAGCAGAGTAATAACTGATTCACGAAAGGATCACCAATGGTTGCTAACACAATATGATGAAAATTTGATGGGGACAGGATAATTGCATAGTATTACTATATCTCCCCATAAGGTATTCCCCCAAAAATCCAGAAAAATAATATCTTTAGAGTGTTACACACTACCTTAACCAAGTAATAAAAGTCAACTGACATCATATAACTCCTGATACAAGGCATTAAGAACACAACATCAGGCCGGGCGTGGTGGCTCACGCCTGTAATCCAAGCACTTTGGAGGCCAAGGTGGGCAGATCACCTGAGGTTGGGAGTTTAAGACCAGCCTGACCAGCATGGTGAAATCCCATCTTAAAAAATAATTAATAAATAAATAAATAAAATAAAAAGAACACAACATCGTTTCTGTGGTATTGCTGCCAAAAATGTGTAACTAGGGCGGGTGCGGTGGCTCATGCCTGTAATCCCAGCACTTTGGGAGGCCGAGGCAGGTAGATCACCTGAGGTCAGGAGTTGGAGACCAGCCTGGCCAA